TTACACAAAAGAGTCTACAGAGACAGGGAAGGTAATAGTGGTCATTTGGGTGGATGATCTGATCATCGCAGCCAGCAACACCCAGAGTTTGGAGAGGGTGAAAAACATGCTTTCTAACAGATTTAAGATGAAGGACCCAGGTAAGTTGAAGTATTTTCTGGGCATGGACTTCAGCCAGTCTGACGGCTGGGTAAAAGTGTCACAAAGGAGGTTTGTAGAAAAACTACTGGAACGTTTCGACATGCAGGAGTGTAGGGTTAGAGAAACCCTATGTGAACCAAAGCTAGAATACTCTGAAGGTGCGCCTAAAATCTCCGATGTGAAGAAGTACAGGGAGGCTGTCGGCAGCCTCATTTACCTGACAACCTGTACACGCCCAGACATATGTTTCGTAGTGAACAAGTTATCACAACATTTTGCTGACCCTACAGATGAGCATTGGGTCACGGTGAAACATGTTTTGCGGTACCTCAGAGGTACTGCAGACAAACAGCTCTGTTTCACAAAAAGCCAAGGAAGCCTAGGCATACAAGCATATAGCGACGCAGACTGGGCTGCGGATGTTAGTGACAGACGCAGCACCACTGGGTATTGTGTGAGTATGAGTAAAGGTAGTTCCTTAGTATCTTGGAAAACCAAGAAGCAACCCACAGTAGCACTCTCCACATGCGAAGCCGAGTACATGGCTCTAGCTCTGACAATACAGGAGTGTATTCACTTGGAGCAACTACTGGGAGGGATGGATTCCTATGTGTATGAGAAAACGGTTGTCTACGAGGATAACCAGGGGACAATTGCGCTTGTTAGAAACCCGGTGTGCAGACAACGGTTTAAGCATGTGGACATAAAATATCATTTCGTCAGGTCTACCATAAGGGAAGACAAGATGTCCCTTGTTTACTGTCCCACCGACAACATGGTCGCAGACGTTATGACAAAGCCTGCCTCCAAACTTAAGTTAAAGAAATTCGGGGAAATCATGTTTGGTGTATAAAATGTTGATATTTGACTATGCCATGTTTTTGTTCTGTTTTTGTTTATTTGGTCATGTAAGTGTTGCACAGTATACATGTCATTCATAAGTGGGAGTATTAAGAGTGTATGAATGCATGTACCTGTAACTGTTTCCTGGGTCGTGATATCAAGAGCACCATTCCCATATAAGGGCAGTGTTCCCTCCCCTTTTCTCAGTGTGTACCCGTCTCTCCCGTGAGCGGGCAGTTGAGCATGTTGTGCTTACATTAAAGAATGCCACGAGTCGGATGGCTAAAGAGATAAACGCCTGGACGTCCGTTCATTCTCCGAAAATCATTGTTCCGCCGCGCAGGTAGGCCGAATAAATAAGCCTACCTGTCAACAGGTGGGCTACTACCGGACTTTTTGTAAAAACTTTTCAACGGTGGTAGCGCCCCTAACTACATTGCTCAGTCCCAAAGTACCTTTTAAATGGTCCGCAGAGTGCAGCTCTGCTTTCGAGTCCGCAAAAGCACTGCTTTGTACCGCTCCTGTGCTAACAGCTCCTAACTTTGACCACCCTTTCAAACTGGAGGTGGACGCCAGTATGGTGGGGGCTGGGGCGGTCCTCTTACAGGGAGATGAGGAAGGAGTAGATCGGCCAATTAGTTTTTTTTCCAAGAAGTTCAATCCGTGCCAGTCACGATACTCTACTATTGAACAAGAAACTCTTGCTTTATTGTTGGCCTTACAGTTCTTTGAGGTATACGTCGGTTCTAGTGTTGCGCCTGTAGGAGTATTCACAGACCATAATCCTCTTACATTCCTCAAAAGAATGTACAATCAGAACCGCCGTCTTATGCGGTGGGCTCTGATATTGCAAGGATACTATGTGTGTATCACTCACGTCAAAGGGACATCCAACGTAGTTGCCGACGCGTTGTCCCGTGCATACCAGGACTAGTTGTGTGCAAAAGGTGGCTTGCACACTTTTTTTGGGGGGGGGGGCGTGTTACGTCCCCAGAAATCTGGGTTCGTATAATGTTTCCAATTCGGGGATTACGCGTGTGTGTGTGTGTTTGTTTTCCAGATAGGATTGGGACCCGAAGCTCCACCCCCCTCGTCAGTGGTTGCAGCTGGCTGGGCTCTTTAAAAAGCCCAGTTTTGGACCAGTTCGGGGGATGCTTGCTACATATTCACACATGTTGATTTTGGTTTGTACCCTGTGTGAGGAGACATTCATTTGTGTTCAGTGTTAGATAACTTGTGTTCCTTTTGGAAACGTGTAGCAGCAGAAGAGAGCAATTGTTTGATTGTGTCGTTTGACTAATTATTTGTTTTCTCTTTTGTTCACAGGGAGTGGGGAGTAGATTTAGAGCTACCCCGGGGTATACATCACCCGTAGGTTTACTTCTGTCTAGAAACACCAGTTTAGACCTGAGCGGACCACCACCTGTAAGTTTGGTTAGGGCGCCTTGACCGTGTGCCAGGTAGAGTGTCTTTCGATTGGGGGGGGGGGGGGGGGGGGGGGTTAGTATAGGTTAGGGGTGGGGACCTTTTGTTTATTTCTTTGTTTTGGTCCTGCCAGCCCTCCCCATTTCCCAGAAAGTTATTGTTTATTTATGTGTATTTATTTTGTTTGATAAAAGAGTTATACTATATTTGGTGTTTGTCCTTTTCTCGCACCGCGACTCCATACTCCTTTTGCTGGCACCGGTGGGCCGGAGCAGTGGGTTGTCATGTTCCCCTCCCTTTTGGGAGCTGGAACGTAACACCGTCCTTGACCCTCTAGCACAGGGGTCTCAAACTCAAGTCAGGTATGGGCCAGATGCAGCCCACCTCGACCGAACGCGGGCCAGACCATTATGGCCGACGTGGGGGATGACACTGGCGGTCCGACCGGCGAACGGAGCGGTCGGCGCTGGGGTGGAGGTTATAAGTGGCTGCTAACAGCGAGGTTGCTACAATATGGAACTCGCAGGCCGCACTAACATTACACTTTCATATGAAGGCGGGGGCCACAAAATATCGTCCCGGGGGCCGCAATTGGCCCGCGGGCCGCGAGTTTGAGTCCCCTGCTCTAGCAGAACTACGACCAGCCATTATAAAGCAGTTTATAGTTGTTAATGTTGTGTCAAAGGGTACGGCATTTAAACATGTTCTTGCACAAGTTTCCTGGCTTCATCCCCACCCGGACAGACATTTTTATGGAAAGCCAATAGAAGTTTGGGGCTTGCAGGGTACAGATACGTCATACCCAGCATCATTTCTGCCAGTTGAGCGCATTGCTATAAGATGTGTGGTTAATACATCCTCTGTGCATTTAAGTAAGAAAAAAAAAGGTCACTGTAGTCCTGCCACTATGCATTGTAGTTGAGCTCTAGGAGACTGTGATCTCTGCAGACCCCTCATTCTGATTCAAATGTTGTTTGCATGGAATGCTCATTTTACCTTGATTAAAGCTCATTTTTTAAAGAAGTTATTTTGTGTATCTTTTTTACAAAACATTTGCCATAATGCTAATTTCTGACAATTTACGGCAGTTTTCGGCGTTGCCCACAAATTGCCGTGAACAGCCGTAAACCTGAAATTCTACGACAATTTACAGTGCCGCATACTGACGAAAATCCCACTTTTCATGCAGTGATAGTACTCATAGTTTGGTTCATAAAATGGTGATCAGTGTTTGTCAAAGCCCAGTGTAACATTCTCAAATATTTTTGACTTGAAATCATCATTCAATTATGAAAATAGTTAAATTAGTAACTTTATCTATTCATCGTTGCAGTTTTCTTATTACCTAGATGGGTAACACTTTACTTGAATGGGTGTTCATAAGGCTGACATAACATTGTCATAAGCATGACATGACAGCTGTCATACATATCAATGAATACTTATGACAGTTGTCATTAAGTGTCATTCAGTAAGTTATGTCACTTTTGATGCAAAGGTGACATTGTTTGAGATGTCCTTGTTATGACAACTTGACATAAGCCAAGACATCAAAACCTGCCATTAACATGTCATAACAGACCTAACTGTCAAACTTAAGCAAAACGTTTGGCTTCATATCTTAGATAACACATTTCCCATTTCCCTTCTAGTGATTTAATGATTTTAACTTTGCATTAAGACATCATGTGCAATTACATAGTCAAACCAGTTTATGACAGTGTCACGACTGTTTTCTTTGAATTCAAGTAAAGTGGAACAATTAGATTCTTCAATTAAGATGTCATTATGTGTAATTACATAGTAAAACCAGTTTATAACAGTGTCATGACTGTTTTCTTTGAATTCAAGTAAAGTGGAACAATTTCAATGTTTCGTTAAAATGTCAAAGTGTTATTACACTGTCAGATGATAATAATACATTAACAAAAGCAACAGACAAGTCAAGAGATATTTTTTCCTTTATGTATTTCAACACAAAACATTTTGTTGTGATGCCACTCTATCATCTTAAGATGAAGCAGAAAAAACAATTTCCAAAATTCCTACATGTATTGCAGGGGTGTCAAAGTCAAATGGACGGAGGGCCAAATAAAAAATTTAGCTACAAGCCAAGGGCCGGACTGTTCGAATGTTCATTGAAAAATTTTTAAATGACGCATATAGTCTAGTGAACCTAATTGAACCTACTGAAAACCTAACAAATATATTCCAATATGATCAGATAAATAAAGCAATATTTTCTTATGGCTCTGTCAGTAATCTTTAATTTTCAACAGACACAAAAGACAAATTTCCTTTATATAAAAATCCCCATAACATGAACATTAAATGAAAGAAACCGGTATTCAAGGCACCATCAGTAGCCTATATTTTCTATTTTAGCAAAAGTGGGATAAATTTACTTCAAAGAAAAAAACAATAATAGCAATTTTCTATCATCCACTCAACTGAAATATTTTTAAAATATAATTAATCAAAAACAACACTTTGTTTAAGGAGAAGTAACATGCAGTGAAAACAAATATTAAACTTTAACTTTTAAACTTGAACTGAGTAAAAACTCTAAATATGTGATTGCACAGTAATGTTCACTTGTTTGAGGTTGAGGGTGATACTTGGTGGTGTCCCATCTTTTCCACAAGTTCATCAATGTTCGGGGTAAGGCTCTGAGCTGAGGAAATCCTCAGAATTGAGTGGAGGTGTTCAGCAGTAAGTCGACTTCTGTGTGATGTTTTGTTCAAGTTCATCAAAGAAAACAGTTGTTCACACAGGTATGTGCTGCCAAACATAGACAACGTTTGAGCAGCCTGGATGCGCAGCTGGGGCATTGTGTCGGGGAGGAAACGGGCGAACTCCGCAGCACCCACTGCCGCATATTTTGCCCTCAGTGCATCATTGCATTGGAGGTCAATCAACTCCATTTGGAGGTTTGGTGGTGAGCTTTCCACGTCAACAGCAAATGGGTTACCGAGCAGTTCCAACCTGCTTTTTTGTGCTTCAAAGTCAGCAAATCGGCGTCGAAAGTCAGCGGCAAGCATACCTATTTTATCAGCCAACTGTGCGCTCGGGAACGCACTGGTAGAGAGCTTCTCTTTCATGGTCTGGCAGCTGGGAAAGTGGCTCAAATTTTCTTTCCGCATCTGCGTCTCCCACAGAGTCAGTTTGGTTTTAAATGCCTTCACTGTACTGTACATATCAGAGATGACACGATCCCGACCCTGCAGCTGCAAGTTCATTGCATTCAGATGACTCGTAATGTCACACAGAAAAGCCATTTCACACAGAAACATTTCGTCTCGGAGTTGTGTTGTGTCTTTCCCTTTGCTGTCCAAGAACAGACAAATCTCCTCACGAAGCTCGAAACATCTTTGAAGCACCTTTCCCTGGCTTAGCCATCGCACCTCTGTGTGATAAGGCAAATCACCATGCTCCGTTTCTAACTCCGTCAGAAATGCCTTGAACTGGCGGTGATTCAAACCTTTGGCTCTGATAAAGTTAACTGTGCGCGTGATGATGCTCATTACATGCTCCATTTTCAAGGCTTTACCGCACAACGCTTCCTGGTGTATGATACAATGATAAGCTGTCAGCTCACCTGTCGCGTTTTCCTCTTGCATCTTTTCCCGTATCTTCGCCACCAGTCCGCTCCTGTGTCCACACATCGCAGGTGCTCCGTCGGTTGTCAGACCCACAAGTTTTTCCCAAGGCAGCTCCATCTCATTTACACATCTTGACACCTCTTCATACAAATCATGCCCCGTAGTTGTGCCATGCATAGGACGTAAAGCCAAAAACTCCTCTGTCACGCTTAGGCTGGAGTCCACTCCGCGGATGAAAATTGACAACTGGGCAATGTCAGAAATGTCGGTGCTCTCATCCACAGCCAAGGAATATGCAATGAAATCTTTTCCCTTTTTCACAAGCTGCTCTTTTAGATTGATGGACAACTGGTCTACTCTCTCGGCAATGGTGTTTCTGCTCAGACTCACATTTAAAAAGAGTTGCCTTTTTTCTGGGCAAACTTCGTCACAAACTTTAATCATGCAGTTTTTGATGAAATCCCCCTCCGTAAATGGCCGGGCTGATTTAGCGATCTCTTCTGCCAAAATAAAACTGGCCTTGACAGCAGCCTGGCCTTGTGATTTGGCTTTTTTGAACAGAGCCTGTCGAGATTTGAGGCCTCGTTTTAATTCCTCTGCCTTTTGTAGCCTTTGTTCCATGTCCATATTCTTGTTTTTGTCCGCGTGTTTCGTTTCATAATGTCGTCTCAGATTATACTCTTTCAGTACCGCCACACTTTCTCCACACAGAAGACACACAGGTTTTCCAGCTACCTCCGTGAACAAATACTCCGACTCCCACCTTGTTTGAAACCCCCGGTTCTCAGTGTCCACCTTCCGTTTTGCCATTTTTGATGGGTATCTGAAAGTTAATTTTACTGTGATGCTGACAACTGCTGTGCCAATAAATATTGAAATGAAGCAGCCTACTGCTCGGTGCGTCACCGTTGCATTGTGGGAAATGTAGTATTGGTGCGTGTAAAAGATCTGCGGGCTGCCGGCTTGCTGCGGTCTGCGGGCCGGTTCTAATAATAAATCAAGATCATCCCAGGGGCCGTAAAAAACCTTCTCGCGGGCCGGATGTGGCCCGCGGGCCTTGACTCTGACATATGTGATGTATTGTGTATATAAACAGATTAACTTTTTTAACAAAGTTTAAACAATTGTTTAACAAAATGTAAACAAGTGTGAACAAAATGAATATTCTTAAGTATATTTATACATTATTGGGAGGAGCTTTCCATTTTTTTTGCATGCTGTGATGGTTTCGGCCATCTCCTCGTTTATGGCCCCGCGACAACGCTCTACAAGCACACAAATCTTCATTTGATATCCGTCACCTGTCAGCAGACCTTGGAACACGTCCTGAAAGGTAATTGCGAGCTCAGCAATTATAGCTGTGCGTGCAATTGTGTTTCGATCAACATTCATTTTCGCAAAGGCTTTCTTGATGGATCCACACTTTTTGAAGATACGAAGGACATCCTTATAGTGATGGATCACTCCATCTGTTGTGGTTACTTAAGAACACAACAGAAAAACAAGCAGATGAGAAAGGATCCTTACTTTTGCATCCTTCTTCTAGGCTGGTTATATTAGACTTTCCTACCTGACTCTGTGGCTAGCAATATCTGCCTTCACCAGCCTAGAAGGAGGATGCCCAGGAAGTAATGTCCTTTCTTACCTGCCTGTACAAAACATAACCAGCTAGGATAGAGGAAGCAGTGAACTCGGATGGTACAGTAAGTAAAATTGTTTTCTTATATTTTTCTTTTTCAGAGGTTAGATATATAACAAAACTGGAGGAGATCATAGAATAACTTGAGGAGATCAGGAGAGCTATACAAGGCTGTAGAGATCTCAATCACTGATTTTCAGAATGATTACTAAAATATACCATTAGCAAGACATCGATATAACATTACCTTTAGTCCCATGTAATTATTATTAACAAAGCCCATGGAAGTAGTTGCTTTTCATATAAATGTAATCCATAAAAGTTTAAGCAGCGGTCAACTTTAGGATTGTTATAAAGGTGATTATAAAGATGATCAATATCTCTGCTTACTTCTTTTAACGGCTGTATGATTCAGTGTGTTTTTTTGACTTAATGGTCTTTTTCTTGGACATCTTCCTTTTCTTTTTCTTCTCTTCTTCTGAGGATGATAAGAAGCTGGAGTCTGAGAAGGGAGATGTCGATGTTGAAGTCGAAGATGAAGAAGGCTCTGGAGCAGTCTTTCTGCCTGGGGGAAGAAAAGTGGGGGGTAGGTGGAGAAGCAGAGATGTTTATAAGTAAATAAAGCAAAAAACTAAAATACTTTTTTTTAATGCAGAGTCACTTTTTCGAGAGCAGACAACTGCACGTGTACAAGAGGCTTTGTTATAGATCATTACTTACTTATTATTTTCTTATTTATTATTTTCTTTCTTATTATTTCTATTGCATTGTAGTTGATAATTAACAGGTGTTTGTTTGGGGGGGGGAAGCAGGAGCAGAACCAGAGCACCCAGAAGTCACACTCTATTGTACTCTAGTTATACTCCCAGAGCAATTTACTGGCAGGAAAGGCCAGAGTTATTTTAGCAGCAGCAGTAACAGTTGAGTGAAACATCAGTTTGTGTGTGTGTGTGCCTGTTAACATGTTAGTAGAGCATTAGCTGTAGCATACAGTGAGTGATGGCTCTACTCTATCTCAGTGCATAGCATTTCTTTCTACATTACATTACATTACAGCAATGCCATTACATTACAGCAATGCCATCACCAGAGACTTATTAGGTCATATCGGAAACCTTTTGGAAGGGCTTGGGAAAATAGTATTTAAGCTCAATTGGACATCTCAGTTGTAACAACAATGCAATTGTATATAATAATATATCCTTACACTCTGTGCCCAGCCTATTTCTATTTCTGGTTCCTTCACCAACTAGTACTGCGTGGATGTTAATTGTAGTGCATTTGTACCTTTCCCAGAAGATGTAAGTGTGCCGGGAGCTTCCTTAATTTTGGCAAGTAGGAAGTCCTTGTCAGCTTTCAGGTCCTTGTTGGCCTCCTCCAGGTAATTAATGCGCTCCTCAAAGTGTTCTATCTTCTGTCGGTCCATCTTGGTTTGTTCCTTCAGTTTGGCCAACTCCAATGCCTCTGTTGGAGACACTGCAACAGAGGAAGTACTTTAAGTGGATTATTGAGGTCAGTCAATGGTGGTGGTGAACTGTTGTGCAATATATTGATATGTGTCATATGTTAATCTATTCTATCTATCTATTCATTAACATACATAAATTCATTGCACTGCAGTACACCAACAAAATTCCCAGTACTTTTGTGCATATTGTTTATTGAGAAAAAACATGTATGTAAATATGTATAAATAAAAAGTACATTTCTAGCCCTACTGGTGAAAGTAGTAAAAAAAAAAGATAAATAGACTAGACTTACTTGTTTTCCTCGGGGAATATTTGATTAGCTTTTTTTTCTTTGGATGAATAGTGTTCCGTTTTCTCCCCACGGAAAGGGCAACCCGGCACACATAGGACTTTACTCAAGATTCCTCATTTGTTTGTTTATTTCTTAAAAGGGGAACCAGGTAAAAAACCTGGAATAATAAGAAATGCAATACTTAAATTTCCATGTGCACACCACAACCAACACAGCTCCCCAGTTCTTTATCTTAATAACATTATTCAAAAATACAAATAAACATTATTAATATACTATAATCCACCATCATCAGTTTCGTTATTTGCATGTACACATTCAATCATTATGCACCACATTCACAATGCATGCAGTCTTTTCTTAGCAGGAAACTACAATTCCCAAAATGCCCCACGGCAAACCAGGAAGTACCCACGTCACATAGCAGTCTGGCTTATATGTTTAAAGTATGAAACACAAAGAAAGTAAACACAGCAGCAACACATTTAAGGTGACATCAGACAACATGAAGCGTACATTATAAAGGAGACAAGACAACATTGAAAATCAAGAGAGCTTACCAAGTGGCTGCACACCGGGTTGGAAGTCGTTACCAACTAAGTGAATCGCGCTTCCTTTTCACTCAGTAAACACTGGTCACGTGACCTCACAGCACACTCCTCTCTTAAAGGGACACTACACTATTGCCCTGCTACCTCAAAGTTTCTCCATATAATACTGGCATTTACATATATAGCTCTGGCAGGTAAACATTTGATCACACATGTAAATCCGAAATAACAAAACGTCATGAATTAAAAACTCCACAGAAAACACAACAAATAGGGACCTCTTCACATTCTTGTGCCAGGTCCTCTTCCACAGCGTGTAGCAGCTTGGGGTTAGCTTCATTATCCTCAGCCTTCCTGCCACGTTTGCTGAAACGGGTGTCCATCTAGCTACAGTTGTGTAAGCAACGAAAACAGGCTACTTAAAGGCTAACTAGTATTAGTTGCTGAACGCTAACTTAATAAAACGGCGAATACTGTAAACAAAAAGACTAACGTCACAGTTATAATGTCCTCTTCAAAAAAATGTTCTTTTAAAATCCAAATTACACACCGTTATTTCGCGTTAGCTTACCTGAAGTAGGAAACTTCCAGACTGTTGATCAGTGTGTTGCACTGCTGGCATGTCCGTCACGTCGCGTTGGGATCTACTCATGTGGATAGTCACGTTACGTAAACGTTACGTTACGCGCGCATTCAGTTCAAATTCAACAAAACTTGTAAACAGTGATGAAATATTAATACATGTGTTAGTTTTAATTAGTTTTATATTTAGAAAAGCCAACTACGTTTGAAATCTCATAACTTTTTTCACGAATACAGGTGCAGTTCCCCTGTAGACACACGTGGGGGCGCTGTTCTGTCTTGTTGATGGAGCATTGAGCGACGAGAAGAAGACTGACGTACCTATAAAAGGCGCGGTTCAGAGACGGGTGACTAGTTGTTGATGCAATGACACTGATGGAAGAACTTTTAAAACATATTAGGCGTTCAAATACACACAAGAGCAGAAAGAAAATTCTGAAATGGATGCAGAAACGTGGTATCCTGGCGACGACGATGAAGTGCGCAAAATGCAACCGTCACATGCATCTGGTGAAATGCCATGTCAAGGATGGGCTGTGGTGGTAAGCAGAAGCTAATTCTAATTTGTTAATTTAAATGGAAACTACATAAAAGAAGCTGCTGAGCTTGCGTGCCTGACATCACCGCGCATGGTTGGACGGGGTCTTTCATTAATTTATAATATTATTATTAGTATTGTTATTAATAAATGCTCTGCTCAGATTCATGGGAGACGTGCTTGTTTCCTGCCGTTGGCAGCATTTTGGATAAGTTGCAGTCTAGGATGTTTCCCTTACTGATTACTACAGAGCATTGCAGTAGGCTAGTTTTTAAGAGATAAAAGCATGAACAACCTTGTCTACATGTCAGCCTTTTTTACTTTTTTCATTATTTTTCCTCAGGGTCTGTAAGCATCATAAAAGTTTCCCAAAGTATGTACGTAATGGCTCAATATTCACCAAGTCTCACATCCCTCTGACAAAATGGCTTGAGTTCATGCACAGGTACAGTATTAATATATCAAATGTATTTTTTGTTACATATCTAAATAACATATTTAGCAGTCTTTTATTTATGTGTAATTCATGTAGGATTGTTATATTAGGAATTCCGTTCCACCAGCCCCTCAAATTTTATTTGAGCTATTTATGTCTTAAAATAATTAAATCTTAGTTTCATCTCAGCCCAATTTATCAAGTATGTTTCTTACTTTTTCCTTTCTTCAGATTTGCCCAAGGTTTGCAGTTGAAGCAACTTGCCATGATCAGTGACAGGCACTGCATGAAAAGTGGGATTTTCGGCAGTATGCGGCACTGTAGATTGTCGTGTAATTTCAGGTTTACGGCTGTTCGCGGCAATCTGCGGGCAACGCCGAAAACTGCCGTAAATTGTCAGAAATTGACGTGGGCCTCCCTTGGCAGTTATGACCCCCTCCTCCTAATTCTAGGGGAGGCTTTGACATGTAAATGAAAATGCTGTGAGCTATACAAATGCAAATCAGGGTCACAGAGGGAGTTTTAGCCCAGGTGACATTTTTTTAAAAGGTAAGAAAATCTCTGGTAGAAATAGATCAGGCTCAGTAGCCTAATTATAGACTCTTACATTTTAGCTTGAATTGATTAATTTAATTCAAATATGCTAGATTACTGTGTACGCCATTAGCATTGGCAAATGTTTTGTAAAAAAGATACACAAAATAACTTCTTTAAAAAATGAGCTTTAATCAAGGTAAAATGAGCATTCCATGCAAACAACATTTGAATCAGCATGAGGGGTCTGCAGAGATCACAGTCTCCTAGAGCTCAACTACAGTGCATAGTAGCAGGACTTCAGTGACCTTTTCTTTGGTCTTACTTAAATGCACAGAGGATGTATTAACCACACATCTTCTAGCAATGTGCTCAACTGGCAGAAATGATGCTGGGTATGACGTATCTGTTCCCTGCAAGCCCCAAACTTCTATTGGCTTTCCATAAAAATGTCTGTCAGGGTGGGGATGAAGCCAGGAAACTTGTGCAAGAACATGTTTAAATGCCGTACCCTTTGACACAACATTAACAACTATAAACTGCTTTATAATGGCTGGTCGTAGTTCTGCTAGAGGGTCAAGGACGGGTTCCTCAAAACTGTTAGTGTTTCCACACCACTTAGCATGAATATATGCTGACCTTTCTGCTCTACATCTATCGATTGAGTAAGTTACATTCATATATGTTACCCTTTTACGTGTCATGGCAAAACATTCAACCTCAGTGACACAAGGGTACATCTGATGATATAGATTCATTGATGTCCTGGTTGGTATCCTAATAATAGTGTAGTAGCCTACATAGGATAACCATGAAATTAATATACAGCATAATATGAATATATAAATATATATAATTTAAATGAGGCGGGTGACCAATAGCGACAGATCTGCCAACCAATCACGAGTGATTGAAAGTTGTGGTTTCATCCAATCATGAACAAGGAAACTCAAGCCTGGTCTGCCCAGGTGTGGTTTTGCTGCCAATCACGAGTGATTTTATTTGTTAGAAAGTTGTGATTTCATCCAATAAGGAGTAAGGATATTCAAGCCCACTCGGCTCGGCCACCCGCGGTTTAGCTGCATTCATATGCTAATTAGGGCCATTCACACCTCCGCCAGCTCTCCATATACGTCATGGTTCGTTTCCGACAATTTGTGGCACAGACAAACGCGACATGCGCGGGTTGCAAATTGTCGGAAACTGTCGGAGAGATTCCCGGGCGTTTACGGAGACGAAAATCTCACTTTTCATGCAGTGAGGATAGCAGCAAGCTCCAGGACATTGACAAGAATGGCAAAAGTACTCTGAAAGGTTGTCAAATTACATACCAGACTAGTCTCTAACTTTGATTAGGTATAAAACAGGTACACAAGTCACCACTCTAATCAATTGGATTCTACATCGCTGCAGAATTATTTGGTACACCCAGTGACACATGCAATGCAACTTTATTCCTAAACGTTACCATACATATTAATCAAATTCCATACTAAGGCATAGTTATACCTCAAGATGCTTATATTTTATTTTCAAATTTGAAGGTCTGCATTGCTGCTGTCAAGCGACAGAGGAAAAGATGTATGAGGATTGGTGGTCGTCATCAAGTTGTTGTTATTGACGAGAGCAAATTTGCCCACAAACGAAAGGTGGGCTATATATTTGTATAAATTTGTACTATATTTAGATCAAGATTTCATGATGAGTAATATTTTATACTTTATCCGGCAGTGCATGTGGGAAGGACACATGTTAAAATGTAATACAGCCCAAACCTTATGAAATGTTTGTGTTTTCTTATTTACTTCTAGTACCATCATTGTCGATGTGGCAACACTTGGCGCCGTGAACGGCAGTGGGTCTTTGGGATGTTGGAGGTCGACAAGAAGTCCAGAAGACCCATTCTGAGACTTGTCAGGGATCGCAGAAGGAAGACACTTATAGGTCATATTAGACGCCATGTCAGACCCAGAACATCCATCCTCAGTGATGAATGGCGTGCCTACAAAGGGCAACTTGCCCAGTATGGGTATGATCATTATTCGGTCTGCCATAAAAACAACTTTGTGGACCGAGAGACTGGTGCTCATACTCAGCATATTGAGCGTGCATAGTAAAGCTACAAGCTGGAAGTATGGCGTCACAGAGGGAATCGTACTCCTGAATCACTCAAGCTTCATCTTAAGATGATAGAATGGCACCACTGGTTGGGTGTACACCATTACAATGGCGTGTTGGGCAGACTTTTCCATGATTTTTTTTTTTTTTACTTTACTTTTTACTGATGTGAAAAAACTTGTTTTTTCACATCAGTAAAAAGTAAAGTAAAAAAAAAAAAAATCTCAACAATGTCTGCTGGCATTTATGCATCTATGTTGTGGCGTTAAACTCATTATATGTTCTCCTGAGCAGATCCTTGCTTGTGTTTTACAAACTGTCACTGGATGAACATCACAACAAAATGTTTTGTTTTGAAATACATAAAGGAAAAACTATCTCTTGACTTGTCTGTTGCTTTTGTTAAGGTATTATTATCATCTGACAGTGTAATAACACTTAATGACATTTTAACGAAACATTCAAATCGTTCCACTTTACTTGAATTCAAAGAAAACAGTCATGGCACTGTCATAAACTGGTTTGAATATGTAATAACACATAATGACATCTTAATTGTAGAATATAATTGTTCCACTTTACTTGAATTCAAAGAAAACAGCCATGACACTGTCATAAACTGGTTTGACTATGTAATTACACATAATGACATGTTAATTGAAGAATCTAATTGTTCCACTTTACTTGAATTCAAAGAAAACAGTCATGACACTGTCATAAATTGGTTTGACTGTAATTGCACATGATATCTTAATGCAAAGTTAAAATCATTGAATCACTGTAGGAGGGAAATGGGAAATATGTTATAAAGTCATTTAGCAGTGTAGTTACACTAACAATATCTTAATGAAAAGGACAACATTTATGACACAATTGTAATGGTTTTATAACAGCGAATGTCAAAACCATCCATATATGACGGTTTAATGTCGCTCTAAGATATGAAGCCAAACATTTTGCCTAGGTTTGACAGTTAGGTCTGTTATGACATGTTAATGACATGTTAATGACAGGTTTTGTTGTCTTGGTTTATGTCAAGTTGTCATAACAAGGACATCTCAAACAACGTCACCTTTGCATCAAAAGTGACATAAATTACCGAATGACACTTAACGACAACTGTCATAGGTATTCATTAATATTTATGACAGCTGTCATGTCATGCTTATGACAATGTTATGTCAGCCTTATGAACACCCATTCAAGTAAAGTGTTACCGATGGGGTAACACTTCACTTAATGATACATTCCACATCTACACGTATGTATTTTAACTTACCTTTTAATATTTCTTACTATCAGCCATTGAATGGCCTTTTGGTGTGTGACCTAATTATTGTTTCTATTCCCAAGATGACTGCAAACCAGAAGATCACCTTGAGGGTCATTCTAACACAGGCGGATATAAGAAAAGTCATCCTAACCACAAGGCCCTCTACAGTCGAAGATTTGATAAGCAAGCTTTAAAGAATCACGGGGACTTCATTATAACTTCAGTCTCCGATACCAAGACCCTGAATGATGAGCTAATAATGAGCTATGCAATCTGACAGATAATGAAGAACTCCCAGAAAAACCAACAGTTAAAGTCATGCCTGTCCTTGAGCTGGTACCTGTCTCATCTGATGAAGTCTTCAGTGACACACCCAGTACAGCAGATACAGACATACTCTCACACTCATCTCAGGAGCGCCAGAAACAGTGGCCAGAATTTTTTGATATTTTCTGTTAATGTGGAGTATAGACTTGTAGTATAGAAGCAGATCTGCTGTTTATGAGTGAGGGTACATAACTTAGAGTATCAAAAGAACTAAAACACGAGATACTTGAAAGATTGGCAGAGATCATGTATAGCTACACAGCATACCCAACTGCTGCTCAGTTCGAAAGTGTTGCAGCAGCACTGAAAAACAAGCACCCTTGTCTCCAAGAGCGAGGCTCAACCACTCGCTGTTGTGGTTGGAAAAATAGCCTAAAGCATAAAATGGCAAGTTATAGAACAAAACATAGGCAATCGGCATGCCTTGATGTTGCAGTAAATGCAGGCAAGCGGGGAAGCCATTCAGCAGGACAACCAGCTAACAAGCGCATCAAGAAGGCAAACAAAGGTGAAATCAACTACTTGCCCAACTTTCCAGATGGATTTGATCAGGCAGCCCTGGAGGGTGCCTGTAAAAACTTGGTTGATGAAATGCAGAAGAGAACACCAAATGGACCTCTTGTGAAACAGAAGATGGATCAGACGTTTGCTCTGAGAAGAAAAGAGGTAGTGGAGTCGGAACCTGCCATAAGCACAATGGTGAAACGCTGGCCTGCCCTTTTCACTGAAGATCAAGTATGTTTAAGAAAGAACATAACAAATAATTATCTTTCTATTATATAATGTGTCTAGATGTATATTTCTCTTGTCCTCTTTAAAGGAAACATTGTTATTTTTAATTTGGGGTATGATGTTTTTAATTTAAACATCAACATTTCAAATCGTATAAAAAGGACATTCATGGATGTTTTTCAGGACAGCACTACTTTGCAGATGGCTTAGCTGCCTTGTATAGTTCAGTTGATCTAAATTCAGATTTTTATTGTTCTCTGTATTTTTCAGGTCTTCATGGAGTTCAGCAGGATTGTGGGCAAGAACCTCAAGACGGAATTGAGAGCATCGACCGGCACAGTCCTCGTCTCCTCGAGTTATTTGGATCCAAGAGAGGGAATGTTGGACAGTTGTTGACACATATTTTACAACAGACCAATGTAAGTCCACACACATTATGTACTTGGCATTGTTTTTCTTAGGTTAGGTATAAACATCATATCACAATGCTACTCTACTAGTTGTATAATTCTATCCAAACATTGCTCGGCCTGTTTAAGCTTTCTTAGCGATCATTATTTGTTTTTTTTAGCTATCTAACTTGTGGTACTGTGTTTAATTCCCAAAAGACTACAGAGCCAACTGCGATCCGGACACAGGTGCTCAGTGGGCTTCCTATCATCCTTGGGCACAACCCCACAGACTTCTTCAAAGCAGGCTTTGTTGGTAAGCTCTTGCTCTCTTATCGGAGAGAGCGCAACTACCCCCCCCTCGTCGGTCGTTCCGCCCGCAACGACTACTACATCCCCCCCGTCGGACCTTCTCGACCGGTCCGCGAAATATTGTCTGACATGAAACCGGTCCGTGAAGTAAAAAAGCTTGGGGACCACTGGGCTGATCCACAACGTGTATGTTTACATACCTCCTGGATCCTGATTGGTGTCGCTGCTGCAGCCGCAAGGCACTGATTGGATGCTTGCTTCACAGACAGATGCTTAAAGCGCAGATGAACATGATTCAGACTACGGCGTTTATATGTTCAACAATAGGAAACGTAGTCTTAGCGCTTTTATTTCAGATTATACCAACGAAAGAATACAAGGCGCAGGGAACTTTGAGGTGCGTAAACGCCACTTAGAGGTGCGTAAACGCTATTTATAGGTGCGTAAACGCTTTTCAAAAATTCTAGAGGTGCGTAAACGGCGTTTACGTGCGTTTACCCTCCACTACAGCCCTGGATACAGTCGAACAAACTAACAGTATGTGAGCCGTCCTCAGACTGTTAACACTAAGTTAACTTTAAGTTCAGCTGACACTTTTTGAGTAGCTAGCTAGCTAGTTTTAGCAATAAGAATGTATTAACACCATGCACAGGTTCAAACAATAACATTAGACGGAAATAAAATCTGCGTCAAATTATCTGCAAGCTTTTGGGTATTAAACATTCCCACAAAGATAACTAGGCTACAATAGTTATTTTACATACTAACCATTCCACTTCGAGGTGGTAAGGTCGCTTTCTTGGATTCCGTCTGCCGATGCCTGTGCTCGTCCCGCCAGGTGAAGAGCCTCTTGGACGCACGTTAGACGTTGGTCTGGTCACGTGACCAAGCAGCTTTTTGAATTAGCCCCTCCCCTTTCTTCCAAAAGTAAACATACCGAGTTATCTGTGCTAAAAATGATTAGTGCAATGAATTCAGCTAATTAGTACAAACAACTAATGTTGTTTAGTAATGATAGCAGGTTTTTACTAAACATAAAAGAATAAGTAATGATCACTCGTAAGTTTAATTAGAAACAAAATCCGGGTTTACAGTGTATGGGTTTTCCTCCGCGGGGTGAGTGAAGGGGCTGGAATAAAGATGTAGAGAAAGTATTTACCATGTCATTTCCCATACAATTTTCCTGAAGAGTAAATCACAAAGGGAAAGTATTAAAAGAGCAAAACGCTGTAAATGTCAGAATTGAAAGAGCTATTAAACGCTGATAACTACACAGGGGATCCTCTGCTCTGCGAGGTGTCCTGTGCAATATTAGGCTGGACACAGACTTTATTCTAATGTAACTCACAGACCGCACAAGATGATTCATGGCAAAGACAGATCTGATGCTAACGCATGCAAATGAACACTCCGTTTAGCAGGAAAACATCACAACTCCTTTGATTTGATTCCTCCGTTTGTCTTTTGGCGTTTCTCTCAGCTCTTCACCACTGACAGTTTGAGGAGCTGATTTTAGAGGCCCGTATTTCCATCAAAAACAAAAAACAAATGCCAAAGTAGAACTTTTAGTAGAGTCTTTGCCTCATACGTCCAACGTATTGTGTTGTTTCACCGTTTGTCCAAATGCCTCATTGACCTCTGATGTCACATGAGGATCTGGTCTTGCATACGATTCATGCTTTGAATAAAGCAACATCCAACGTAAAGGATCAGACGCCCAGCAAACAAGCTGACAGGGGGACAAACATCACAAATTGCACACCATAGGATTTGTGTAGTGGACAGTATTTTTAAAATCCTGGACCCAGAAGATCCCTGATGGAGAAGCAATATCATCTAAACAACACTGTCTAGTCAGTGAAGACGGTGAAGAAGGTTTACAGTTTGTCAGATCAACCTCTCTCTCACACCACAACTTTTAATTCATTTAAAATGGACAGTTTGACAACAAGTTGTAAGTCTCTGAGCTGCTCTAGTATCTATTAAACACATCAAGGTCGAGGCAAAGTTCAAGGAGCAGAAGCAGCCGGGAAGATGTGAGGTTACACTCAGATAACACAAAAACAGACGCTTTGTTGGCCACAACTTCCATCAAGACGCTTTAAAATCTCTACAGAGATCTAGATAACGTTCCCACATTTATCTGTGACAGAAAGAGGCAGCAATTACAGGTGAAAATTACCATCGATAGCAGTGTATGAATCCTTTAATAGCTTGAGTATTAGCAGCCATAATTATAAATCATTACTGGGGAAAGACTTCCTCTGCAACAAATCACAAATCCACAAAAACTGCAAACATGTTGGCCTGGTTATGAATCTGGTCGCTGCAAAAGGAGTTGAATGTGCAAAT